ATCTCAGTCTTCGTGACTCGTGCTAATCTTCAAGCACATATCAGTTTTTCACAGCTGTTTTCGGATGTCTTCGGAATCACTGAAACTCGAATCTCTCTGTTTAATTATCATATATTCTGCTTTCTTCATTGTGCAAATCAATTGGCTGTGTCTGCGAAAATGCTTTTTTGCTTGTTTATAATCGCTGGTCAGTGCGTTATTGCTGTTGTACACTCGGGCATGTTGGCGAATCCTCTGATTGCTTTCGCTTCACTCATTCAGAAACTTTCATCCGATTCCTCTAGAGAAATTGTTTGATTCGAAACTAATTTGAATGTTTCATTTTTGATCATTTGGGACTATTTGGTTATCTGATAAACTTCGGTAATTTTCGAAGAAACCAACTGTGCGTTTATACGTGAAGTTAGTCAATGAATGGCCTGTTTGCAGGGACGCATTATCAAATCGTTTGGATAAACTCTGTCTGGAACATGAAGCAGAAAGTTTGAAGCAGCATCGACGTTTGCGAAAACTCTTCCAACGTGCATTTGAGTGTCTGAAACAATTTCGTCAAGATGCCGAAACATTTTTGAATAATTCACAACAACAACAGTCAGCGATGGCCACAATGGTTAGTTGATTATTTCCTTGCAGAAATTAACTCATCATAAAACTGATTGCTTTAAGTCTTGCTTGATTCTGCATATGCTTTCTTGGAAAATTTATGCTGCTTGCTTCAGTTTTTGCTTATCGTATTCATATATCAAAATTCATTTTGAAGCCTACTTTGCACATAATTTCTTGCGATTATCTTGAAGCAATTGAAGTTTTGGAAGGAATTCCCACAAACTTTGGTCAATTGTGCGATTTTTTTTTCCTTTATCATCAGCGATATTAAGTATCGCTGTCATTGATGAATGAATTTATGAATGAACAGTTATTCGATATTTCACACAATCATAAACAAGTGACGAGTCTTCATCGTTAGTTTTACGATTGCTCAAAATGTCCAAGTACATACAACAGCACTTCTTGATCTAATTAGATGAAAATGCTTCCAATTTGAAAACCGTTGGCATCACTTTGTGTTTACTCTGTACTTTGTGAAATTCTCCACAAATTTGTTTTCACCCTCAATATCAATAGTGCTCTGTATCGTCGTCTTCAAACCACTGCAAATCGCTATCATTAGTGCAAAGTGGTGATGTTCTTTTATCGCTGTCATCAATTTTCTCATTTCAACAACTGCTAGGTAGATGCAAGAGAATGATTAATGAAGTGTGAAAACATCAGTAAATAAGCAAACTTTAAAACAGCTCTAATACAGTATCACTGACGTTGTTCGTATAACTGTAATGGAGACAATTTTGAGTAGAAGTATGTGAAGTTCAAGATATTCTGCGCATTTAATGCCCTGTGAACTTATCACGTTGTATACTGCATTATTACGGTCTGATAGGAATATTCAATGGCAACAACGTATTAATTTGTGTTAGATGGAGGCTTTTGTTGTGCAAATACGCTGAATTCCATTGCAAATCGTACGATGAAGGATAGGCAGGCAAACTCATTATGAGCATTCCCGAGCGATTTTTGCAGAGAATGTTTGGAACGAAACTGAAATGAAATATTCTTCATGAACTGAATGAATGAACTGTTGTTGTTTTCAGATTTTGACTGTGCTTGGAAAAAACGTCTTGAAAATTTGTTATAGCCATCTTAGGAAGCAGTTTTTATGGGAAAGTTATGGCAGACTGCTAGCTATCGGATAATTATCGGAGATAGTTTCTTTCGGATACTTTTTTAGGAGAATTTTCAGGAACACTTTTTCAGGACAATTTCATGCGCGTTCAGTTGCTATCATCCAACTTCATCACACTATCATTTGATAATCACAGTCATTAGT